ACATTGAAGACTTGAAACTACTCCTGAATATGTTTCAAAGAAATGGGGGGAGGGGTGGGCAGAACCCAAAAACCTGATGGTATCCATTTGCCCAAATCAGGTTGCTATTGAGATGACAGCCCTCATACTCTGGAAGAGGAATCGTCCAGATTCTCTTTATCTAAATGGAACACAGCAGTTGCCCCTAATTAGTTTCCTAATTGGCTACTTGTGGGGCTTGCTGGGTTGACAGCTCATTGGCTCCTGTGTCCTGTAGCTTTCCATCCAGAGAAGCCATGGGAGCCACCCCCATGGCCTACTCTGCAGCCTGTGAAAATTCCTCCTGGGTCTGAACGTGTGCATAGAGAGCCGGTCACACTAAGTCCTTTATGAGACTCAAGTAAAACTCAATGGAGTGAAAATTATCTAAACACAGCATTGTTCCCCCTTGATGCCGATTTGCAGTTGGTTGATTTTCATTGGTATTTTATAAATGTGTGAAGAATTTTTCTATTTGAGAGCAGTACAAGAGGAAATTGCCAGAAAAAGACAAGGTTAAAGAGGCTGGCAAGATGGCTTAGTTAGGAAAGTGTTTGCCATGCAAGCATGGCAGCCTAAGTTCTGACACTATGCCCATAAAAGTCCAGGCACAGGGGTGTGTGCTTGTAATCCCCCACATGGAGGAGATTGAAACAGGAGGGCCCCTGGTCCCTGGGGCTCACTGGCCACTGAGTCTTAATTGCTGAGCCAGAAGTTCAGTAAGAAAATTTCATCTCAAAAATAAGGTAGAGAGTGACTGAGAACGACCCCAAACATTGACTTCTGGACTACACAAACACACACATACATACACACCCCTGTATACATACAGATACACACTCTACACACACAAAAGAACTTTAAAAATAATTGTCATATGTGTGCATGCCATGGTACTTTTCAACATTTTTTTTTTTTGATATAGAATCTCACTGTAGCCCAGGCTGGCCTTGAATTCACTCTGTAGATAGGGCTGGTCTTGAACTCAATACACAATCCTCACTGGCCTCAAATTTGGCAATCTGGTTTCAGCCTCCTGAATGCTGGGATTATAGGCATGCAGCACCGTGCCCAGCTGCCTATTTTTATAACATAATTTGTCTTTCTTCTGGCCTTTCTGTTTGAAGAAGAATGATTTTGCCACACTCAGATTACCTTAGATAACACAAATAGTAATTGTGTGTACTTTATACCTCAAAAAGACAGAAGAAAGTTTTTAATGTTTTTCGCCACCAAGAATGTATAATTTCTCACCCAATCACGAAGTATAAATATACATTGAAACATTGATTGGTTCTCCATTAATATGAACACTTTTAAAGTTCTATATCAACTAAAAGTGAACTTGTTTTTAAAGAATCTACTAATAAATATTGAAAAGCAAGCATGGATAGTGTACCGTGACTAATATGGCTTCAAAGACGGAAGAAAAGTAAAGAATTACATGTGAAATTCTCTACTCAGTCAGCTTACACATCGGTGTTTACAGGCTCAGCAAGATGAATCAGTGGACCTGGGTGTCTTCACTCACCATTGAGCACATCCATCGTGCAGAAGAGAAAAGAAGCCACCATGGGAAGACAGGAGGCAGACGGAACACTCACAGCAAAACTAGGAAGGAATGGCTAGTCCAGTGTGTTGGAGCTTAAACAGAATGGGAGGGAACAGGCCATGAGGTTTAAATGCAGACATGAAGTATTCAGCAAATACAAAAACAGGGTTGTGATATCAGAACTGAGCCTTCTAGAAGATTAAGAACTGGAGCATGTCTGGGAACTCAGACCACACCTCATGGTTGTTGCACATCTACTAGGCTGGGCTGGGCTGGTCCATGCCTCTTGAACACGCAACGGGAAAAGATAGGACACTTAACTAGCAAGGGCAAGAGATGGATATTTGCCTTATAACGCAAAGCTGGATGGCTAAGAGTCGGAAGGAAAATAGTGTGGTCCTGGAATGGTGACCCTGGAGAACCCATAGGAGAAACGAAAATGGAGGGCAGGAAGTTGAGAGTGTCAGCAGTGTGGAAGAAGGGTTTCAGAGCGGGTTAGATACCATCATCAAGGGGAAGCCAGAGGAGGACCTCAAGTCTGAACATGAAGGCAGGAACTGAAGCAGAGGCCAGGGAGGAGTGCTGTCGTCTGGCTTGCTCCTCTGGCTTGTTCCGCTACCTTTTGTATACACTCCAGGACCACTCGCCTAGGGGTGGCACCGCCCACAGTGGGCTGGGCTCTTCTACTCAATCAGCAATCAGGGTAATGCCCCATAGGCTCCCCTACAGGCCAATTCGATGTGTCCTCAGTGAGAGTCCAGATGACTCTTGTGTCAAGCCGACAGAAAACTAAGTAGCACAATGTGCATCTGTTGTGTTTAATAAAAAAAGAAGATGCCTGAGATATGTTTGGTAGAGGGGCAGTATGGTGTGGGGGAAGGGGTGCCTCTGAGGGCCCATGTTGAAGCATCCCTTCTCCCTGAGGGACTAGTATGGAATAGAGTTTATTTAGGGCATGGGGAGGGGACGTGAGGGGGTAGTAAAGACAGAA